AGTTCCAGGACAGCTGGAGCTACAAGGGAGACCCTGTCTCAAAAAGACCAAAAAAAAAGTTTAGACTCTCAGAAGAAGAGAAACAGACACATACACTCAGGAGCCAGTCTTACTAGATTCAAGTCTGGATTTTATCACTAGCGAGTATTTTGGGGCGAATTACTTAACTTTTCTGTACTCAGTTTCTACATCTGCAAAATGGAAGTACAGAGTATCTACCTTGAAGAAATGTTCTGAGGATAGAATGGGTCAAGTGCAGAGTGCTTAGAAAGTTGCTGGGACTTAGAAACTGTTCAGTGATTGTTAGCAGTTGCAGTCTTCAGGGGTGGGACTCAGAGACATCATGGATTAGTAAGGAAGGAAAACAGGATGGTGATCCTGCAAGAGAATGATTAATGTTTAACTTGTACCCAACCAGTTGAGCAATGGGTACCCAAGACCTGTAACTGGCCTAATGGGCCCAAGGTCTGTACCCTGAGGGTCTCCTACAGCTGTGAAAAGCCATTCCATGCTTGAATTGCATTCTCTGTTCATCAGAAGTAGCTTGGGCATGGAGGATGTACAGTGCCTCGGGAAGGGAATTGACTCCTGAATGCATCTGAGGGGAAACAGAACAGGAAGGTGTCTTAGTGCTAGAGAAACCAAACTGTCTGCAAACCTTAATATGCTCCATTGTAAACCAAGCCTAGAGGAGCATAAAGAGGCAGAAAGTGCTACAGTCTGCCTGTGTTCAAAGCTGTAATAACGATGCTGCTTTGCTTTTTACAGTGCCTCTCCTGAAGCCAATAACATTTTATGCTCATCAGCATACCCTGTAGCCATCAAGAGAAATATGGTAGATAGAGATGTAAGAACATGGACAGACATATGACTTTGAATAAATGGAAAGTTGCTGAAGAATGTGTATGGTATAGTTTTCTTTATAATGAATATACAGGAGGAGCTGGAGAGATGGCTTAACGGTAAAGAACACTGGCTCCTCTTGCAGAGGACCCAGGTTCAATTCCCAGCACCAACATGGCAACTAACAACCATCCATAGCTCCAGTTCCAGGGGGATCCAATGCTCTCTTCTGTCCTCTGTGGGCATTGCACAACACAGGTGTAGTAATACACATGCAGGTAGTATGCTCATACACATAAAAATAAAAAACTTTGAAAAGCAAAAAAGAATATTCATGAGACTGGGCTGTAGCTGAGTTGGTAGTGTACTTGCCTAGCATGCACCACATAAACCAGACATGGTGGCAGAGGCACTTGGGACGTGGTGACAGGGGGATCTGAAGTTCAAGGCCACCCTGAGCTAGATAGCCAGTTTGAAGCCAGACTGGGTTATAGGAGACCCTGTGCTGGATAGCTTTAGTGTCAACTTGACACACCTGGGTTAAAGGAGCCTCAATTGGGGAATTTCCTTCATTGGACTGGCCTGTAGCCATGTCCATGGGGCACCTTCTTGATTGCTGAGTGATGTGGGAGGGCCCAGCCCACTGTGGGTGGTGCCACCCCTGGGCAGGTGGGCTTGTGTTGCATAAGAAAGCAGGCTGAGCAGGGGCCAGGGGAGCAAGTCAATAAGCAGCGATCCTCCATGGGCTGCGCTCCAGCTCCTGCCTCCAGGTTCCTGCCCTGAGTTCCTACCCTGGGCTCCCTGATGAACTGTGACCTGGGAGATGTAAGACAAATAAACCCTTCCTCCCCAAGTTGGTAGGGTCGGAGTGTTTTGTCACAGCAATGGAGAAACAAACTAAGACAAAATCAAAAATATATTTGTTTTTTTTTTTTAATATTTTATTTTATTTGTATGAGTGTATTACCTGCATATATGTGCATGCACCGGTGTCGTGAAATGCTGTGGAGGTCAGAAGAGGGCGTCAGATTCCCCTGGAACTGGAGTTAAGGACAGTTCGTGGCCGCCATGTGGGTGCTAGGAATCAAACTCGGGTCCTCTGCAAAAGCAGTCAGTGGTCTTAATTTTTTTTTTTAATATTTTATTTTATTTGTATGAGTGTATTACCTGCATATATGTGCATGCACCGGTGTCGTGAAATGCTGTGGAGGTCAGAAGAGGGCGTCAGATTCCCCTGGAACTGGAGTTAAGGACAGTTCGTGGCCGCCATGTGGGTGCTAGGAATCAAACTCGGGTCCTCTGCAAAAGCAGTCAGTGGTCTTAACTGCTTAGCCATCTCTCCAGCCCCACAATTTTTTTAAGAAAAAAAAATGCCATAGTTTTCTTTCAAGACCACATAAAAACAAGATGTTTTAATTTTGTATTTTATTATTGTGTATGTATGTTTGTATGATGGGGGTACAGGTGCCATGGTGTGTATATGGAGGTCAGAGGACAACTCTATGGAGTTGATTCTCTCCTTCCAATTTGTGGGAATTTTCGGGCAGCAAGCACTTTTACCTACTGAGCCATCTCACTGGCCCCAAAAGTATAATTTTAGTTATGAAGATTGAGTGCTCTGGAAAAAAAAGATTATAAGGCTACTGTATTAGAGCTAGATGTGGTTATGCACACCTGTAATCCAAGCACTCAGAAGGCAGAGGCAGGAGAATTGCTATAAGTTCAAGGCCAGCCTGATCTCAGTAATGATTTCCAGGCCAACTAGGGCTATATGTCGAAACCCTGTTGAGATAGATGAGAGAGAGAGAGAGAGAGAGAGAGAGAGAGAGAGAGATCAAATAAAGCAGCATTATACTAGCATTCCAGTTTTATAAGAAAGAAAAATAATGCATACATTCATACACTAAAAGTTGGAAAGAATATCAGGGGTGGATTTCTCTAATGATGAGATTAAGGATTTAAATTTCTTCCTTGTACATTATAAATTTCTTTATTTCTTTATTTTAGTTTTATGTGTATGAGTGTTTTGCCTGCACTTATGTTAAGTACAACCATGTCATGCAATGCCCACAAGGCCAGAAGAGGGCATTGAATCCCCTGGAACTGCAGTTAAGGATGGTTATTAACTGTCATGTGGGTGCTGGGAACCAAACCCAAGTCCTCTGCAAAAAGCAGCCAGCAATCTTAATTGCTGAGCCATCTCCAGTCCCCATTATAAAATTCTTAAAAATTATTTTTTATGGGGCTGAAGAGATGGCTCAGCAGTTAAGAACACTGACTGCTCTTGCAGAGGGCCCAAGTTTGATTCCCAGCACCCACGTGGCAGCTAACAACCGTCTGTAATTCTAGTTCCAGGGGATCCAACGCCCTCTTCTGACTTTCTCTGGCATTGCATGACACAGGTGCACATACATACATGCAGGTAATATACTCAGACACATAAAATAAAAATCATAAATAAAAAAAATTTTTTTACAGTGCTGAAGAGATGGCTCAGCAATTAAGAACACTGGTTGTTCTTGCAGAAGACTCAGGTTCAATTCCCAGCACCCATATGACAGCTTACTGTTCATAACTCCAGTTCCAGGGGATCCAACACCCTCTTCTGTCCTCCATGGACACTGCATAACATGGATGCACTTGCATATATACATGTAATACACATACACATAAAATAAAAATAAAACCAAAAAATTATTTTTTACATTTATTTATTTTGTGTGAGGGGAATGGAGCACATCTGGACATCAGAGGACCACTTGGGGAAACTGGTTCTCTCCCTCCACCATGTGGGTTCTGGGACTTGAACTCAAATTCACAGGCTTGGTGACAAATGCCTTTACCAGCTAAGGTGTCACACATGAACACAGGTTACTTTTTTTTATTATTGTTTTTATTTTATGTGTATGAGTGTATTGCCTGCATGTGTAAGTGCATCCGTGTTGTGCAATGCCTGAGGAGGACAGAAGAAGCTGTCAGATCCCCTGGAATTGGAGTTACGGACAGTTGTTAGCGCCATGTGGGTGCTGGGATTCAAACCCGGGTCTTCTGCAAGAACGGTCAGTGTTCTTAACCGCTGAGCTATCTCTCCAGCCCCCAACATGGGTTACTTTTATAAAAGGAGAAGGTTATGTGTAACAATACCATTTTAAGATGGGCATGATAATAGTGGTAAATGCTAATCCCCTAATCCCAGCACTTAGAAGGCTGAAGCAAGATGATCTCACATTTGAGGTTAGCCTGAAGAGGAAGAATGTATGCCCATGTGTTTTATTGTTACTTAGTGAGCATTTAATATTGTAGTATGTTACACAGTTTAGGGCACAGTAGTTATCTTGAAATGACACTTGTAATAGATGTTTGCTAGAAGTTATACTGTGAGTGGTCTCTAGGAGCTGTAAAGGAGCACAGAGGACCAGGAATGTCGCAGTTATCTGGTAGAACGCCTGCTTATGAGCCACCAGCAATAAATTTGTTTTAAGGAGTGTTTGAACTCCTGCCCTTAATATCAGTTTCTTCAAACGTGCCTGCTGAAGGAATTTTCCCTCCGCGGTCCTGGGACATGTAGGCATCTGTGCTGGTAGTCATGTAGGTTACGATTTGAATCTACCAATATTGTGACAGTTAAGATATTATGGGAACATCTATAAAAACCTGTGGAAAGCTATAACTGGCACCCAGAACTTGGAGTACTAGGTCCTCTGGGGCCGCTAGTGTAAATAAAGGACTGGATTTTCCATCTCTCTGAGGAGTAACTGCTTGATTTCTCAAATGCCTGATTTCTAGAACAAGCCTGGCCTATATACCAAGAAAAACTGTGTCAAAACAAACAAAAACAAAATCACCTTTATTTGTTATTACACTAAGACTCCTGATATGCATACCTGTGCATCCTTGGAGTTTCCCTCAGAAGAAAGTAGAGGGCAGCAATATGAGTCTTCCTTTCAGTTTGACATTTTAAAAAATGCTGTCAGGCTGGGTGTGGTGGCGCACGCCTTTAATTCCAGCGCTCGGGAGACAGAGGCAGGCGGATCTCTGAGTTCAAGGCCGGCCTGGTCTACATAGTGAGTTCCAGGACAGCTGGGGCTACAGGGAGACCCTGTCTCAAAAAGCCAAAAGAAAAAAAAAAAAAAATGCTGTCATTTCCATCTTTGCAGGTTACCTCCAAAAGCAGCCCTACTTTGGAGCAGTGGTTGGGAGGGTAGCCAACCGAATTGCCAAAGGAAGATTCACACTGAATGGGAAGGAGTATCACCTGCCCATTAACAGAGAGCCCAACAGTCTTCATGGAGGATTCAGGGGGTTTGATAAGGTGAGTCCAGCGTGTGACAGAGGTACCTCTTGACACCTTCAAAGTCCCCCCAAGCATGCCTGTGTTTGCTAGGTGCAATCCTAGGCTCTGGAATAGGCAGTGTGATCAGAAAAGAAGTTGTTTGCAGACTGTGACAGCCTCAGACTCAGGAAGACAGGGCACACCCTCCTCAGTGTTGGCCTCAGAGCCAGGTTGCCGAAATGTACATTAGTGATAATTCCTATGATGTGCTGCACGGGCATTGATGTCTATTTTCTCTAATACTTAGTAAAGCTCTGAATGATTATTACCAAATGAGAAATAGGAGGCCCTGAAAGGCTATACATCTAGTTAGGATAGCCAGACCTGCCTGGCCTCAAGCCCTCATTCCTATAGTACTGGTGTCCTCTAAGGCTACAAGTATATACAATCCAACACACATCTTTGTACCTGTCATTAGTTCCCTACCTCATGTACAGGGTGGTACCACACTCAGGCCTACCATTCACTCAAGTGCTTTGTTTCAGGCTCTCCCCCCCCACCCCCCACGCCTTTTCTTGGTCCTCTTGAGAGTCTTCCCGTAACCCCAGCTGGCTTAGAACTTGCTGCATAGATCAGGCTGGCCTCGATCTCATAGAGTTCTGCCTGCCTCTGCCTCCTGAGTGCTGGGAGTAAAGGTGTGCCATCATGCCCATCTCAGTTTCCTTTTTCTAAATAAAAACTCCCATTACTGAAGTAAATTTCCAGAAAACAAGGTCAGAAAAACAAATGATCAAACAGCTTCTCTGTGACAAAGAATTACCTGGGCTTCTGCTTTCCAGACTGTCTGTGGGTTAACCCGGATGACTCCCCTGGGGGTCTCATTTCAGACTCTGGAGAGAAATCTTCTGAGATAGTGTTCCTTTAGGTTATACTACCTGGGTGATAGGAACCTGTGTGTTAGTTAAGTCACAGTTTCTTCTTGCCTCTGGTTACTACCTCTCCTATCGAAGGAAGTTGGTTGCACTCTGTTTCCCCCTCTTACCAGCTTCTTGTCTATGGCCTAGGACCACACTGCCCGCCTGTTGGTTTCCCTTCCTCAGTGAGATACCTCTCATGACAGGGAGAGAAGATAGAGGGGTGTCAGCTCTGCCTGTATTAGGGCTGAGAAACTCTAGAACATGCCAGGTCCATGGGCAAACCTCAATCTAGAGGAAGCTAGACCCAATCTTCAGAGGAGTTTCAGAACAGCACCTCATTCTAACTTGTTCCTGTTATTTCTGTTCTATTGTGGTATTTTCTATGGTGTTCCTTCACAGGTATTCCCTTTATGAACAGTAAAATCAAATGTACATATCTGTCTCAGCAAATTTTCTTTTTTCTTTTTTGCATGACAGAATCTCACGTATTCCATGCTGGCCTTGACCTGGCTACATAGCCAAGAATGACCTTGAATTTCTGATCCTCTTGCTTCTAGCTCTCCAAAGCTGGGAATACTGGGTTTTATGTGACCAGGCCATCATGTATGCTGGGCAAGGACTCTACATCCCCAACCCCTGTGTTAGTCCATTTTCTGTGGCTACAGCTAAAAATGCAGACTGAGTAATTTGTTAAGACAAAGGTTAAATTAGCTCATATTTCTGGAGGCTGGAAGTTGAAGAGCATAGCACCAGACTTTGGTTTTGTTTCAAACACCAGCTGCTTTCCACCATGGCTGCACCCTAACATGGAGGAGGCATCACAGAGTGAGTGTGCCAGCTTAGGTCTTTCTTTCCTCTTATTATGGAGCCATTAATAGCATCCTGGGGGTCTTCACCTCATGAGCTCATCCAACTCTAATTACCTGTCAGATGCTCCACCTCAAATACCACTATCATAAATTTGGGGAATCAAGATTCCAACACATGAACTTTTGAGGGACATATTCTGACCATAACAATGTCCTTCAATTGAGTGAGTCCTTCTGGGAACCAGGGAACATAATAGGCTGGAATCCTGAGGCTCCACATGATAGTGAGGGAGATGAACCCTCCCATAAATAGCTATTCCAAGAGAGACATAACGACATGGATATGAACGTTGTGCTCTAGAAAATGGTGTGAGATGATGAACAGCACTGGAGAGGCGGGATTTGAACTGCTCTTGAATTGTAGATAGCATTTCTTTCAGCCTGTGGGTATTAGAGAGAGTGACTACGCAGCAGGGAGAGACTTTGTTTTTATCGAACCACAGAAAGTTTTTGAGTAGTTTTAATATGAGCGCATATTAAATATCAACTGAATGTTTTATGGTTTATTTGATCTCAACAATTAATGAATAATTTAGTTTAGAGGAATGTGCTTTTTCTGTTGATATCAACTTCTTTTAAAAGATGAAAGTTGATGGCCACCTTTAATCCAAGCACTTTGGAGACAGAGGCAGGCTGATCTCTGTGAGTTCAAGGCCAGCCTCTTCTACATAGTGAGTTCCAGGCCATCGGGGCTACAGGGAGACCCTGTCTCAAAAAGACCCCCTCCCCCAAAAAAAAACAAAAAAAAGAAAGTTCAGTCCTGACGAGTCTAGAAATACCATAAGAAAAACCAAAGATGCAAAATTTCTGGAACTTTGGAAACTCCAGGATAAGGAAACTCTTTCTCTGGGTAAGAATTATTTAACTAATAAAAAATCTTTCCACTGTGTCCTTTCTCTAAAAGAGGAAAATCTAGTTGAAAAGGTAATAGCATTTTATTTCAGACATTTAATTCCTAAAAGTTTCCATTTGGGGGATTTTTCTTTCCCTTTTTAAAAATTTTATTT